TTTATTACACTTTTTAGATTGCCTAGATTTTATCAGCATGATTCCTTCAACAACTGTTCTCCTATGCCCTGATAAAGAGCATTACGTGAGGCTCCCAAAATGCATTGAATATTAACTTCAATACATGTTTGGAATAAAACTTGAATTTCAACATTTTGGTGTGGTGTTCCAGTCTCTGGATCCAACCATTATATTTACATCCTGAGGTTTTCCATTGCAGTTGCTTGGTGTACAGAAGCAGCCCACATATCATCCAGATGCCCCATCGTATAAGTACAGTTTTTAGTAATACCAATCACATGCACTATGTAACACTTAGGGTTTCAGTACCATCAATTCGACTACCTCCAGCATTGGAGTTTTGGAAGCAGTTCAAAGGAGAACAAGCAGGATAATGAGAGGGAAATACTGAACATAAAGTTTAAAAGTCTGTAAAAAGATATCATAGAGGCAAGTGGAAGCTGAAGTTTAAGCAAAATGAAAACCCAATTAATATTAAAGGTCCATGTAATAAAGAAAATCCACATCACCTAATAAAATACTGTATTTGTCTTTGAAGAACTAGCATTCATTTTTCAATATTATTTAACTCCCTGGTGGAATAAGAGCATATAGCACTTGGTCCCAGTCTTGTTGATGGCCCTGCTGTCTCCTAAACACTCATCTACAGGTGAAACTCGAAAATCTAGAATATCGTGCAAAAGTTCATTTATTTCAGTAATGCAACTTAAAAGGTGAAACTACTATATGAGATAGACTCATTACATGCAAAGCAAGATAGTTCAAGCTGTGATTTGTCATAATTGTGATGATTATAGCTTACAGCTCATGAAAACCCCAAATCCACAATCTCAGAAAATTTGAATATTACATGCAATCAATAAAACAAGGATTGTACATAGAACAATATCGGACCTCTGAAAAGTAGAAACATGCATATGTACTCAGTTCTTGGTTTGGGCCCCCCCTTTTGCAGCAATTACTGCCTCAATGCGGCGTGGCATGGAAGCTATCAGCTTGTGGCACTGCTGAGATGTTATGGAAGACCAGGATGCTTCAATAGCGGCCTTCAGCTCTTCTGCATTGTTCGGCCTCATGTCTCTCATCTTTCTCTTGGCAATGCCCCATAGATTCTCTATGGGGTTCAGGTCAGGCGAGTTTGCTGGCCAATCAAGCACAGTAATCCCACGGTCAATGAACCAGTTTTTGGTGCTTTTGACAGTGTGGGCAGGTGCCAAGTCCTGCTGGAAAATGAAGTCAGCATCCCCATAAATCGTCTGCGGAAGGAAGCATGAAGTGCTCCAAAATCTCCTGGTAGACGGCTGCGTTGACCCTGGACTTAATGAAGCACAGTGGACCAACACCAGCAGATGACATGGCTCCCCAAATCAACACAGACTGTGGAAACTTCACATTGGACTTCAAGCATCTTGCAGTGTGTGCCTCTCCATTCTTCCTCCATACTCTGGGTCCTTGGTTTCCAAATGAGATGCAAAAGTTGCTCTCATCAGAAAAGAGGACTTTGGACCACTGAGCAACAGACCAGGTCTGTTTTTCTTTAGCCCAGGTAAGACGCTTCTGATGTTGTTTGTTGTTCAGGAGCTTGACAAGAGGAATACGATATTTGAAGCCCATGTCCAGGATCCGTCTGTGTGTGGTGGCTCTTGATGCACTGACTCCAGCCTCAGTCCACTCCTTGTGAAAGTCCCCAACACTTTTGAATGGCCTTTTCCTGATAATCCTCTCCAGGCTGCGGTCATCCCTGCTGCTTGTGCACCTTTTTCTTACACATTTTTCCCTTCCACATAACTTTCTATTAATGTGCTTTGATACAGCACTTTGGGAACATCCAGCTTCTTTTGCAATTACCTTTTGAGGCTTTCCCTCCTTATGAAGGGTGTCAATGATGGTTTTCTGTACAACTGTCAGGTCAGCAGTCTTTCCATTGATTGTGATACCAGACTGAGAGACGATTTAAAGGCTCAGGAAACTTTTGCAGGTGTTATGGCTTAATTAGCTGATTAGAGTGGGACACTTTAAGCCTAGAATATTGCACCTTTTCACAATATTCTAATTTTCTGAGATTGTGGATTTTGGGGTTTTCATGAGCTGTAAGCCATAATCATGCTTTGCATGTAATGAGTCTATCTCATACATTAGTTTCACCTTTTAAGTTGCATTTCTGAAATAAATTAACTTTTGCACAATATTCTAAATGTTCAATGTTTTTTAATGTTTCACCTGTATATGCTGGCTGTAGCTCCACCACCTTTTGAAGGTAAAATTATTGGCATTCCTGTGGGGGGAGATACAGCCAGCACAGTACTCCCCCCTGCTGAGTGATCTGTCACTATTATGAATGAACAATCAATGATGATTGTTCATGACAGTAAAAGATCTTTCAAAGCTTTGGTTCTGTGTAAAATATCTTCCCTGCGTGTGTACAAGCCGCTGCAGATACATTACAGTTGCAACTTTGAATGATGTTTTACTATTATGAATAAACAAGCAGTGCTGATTATTCATTCATAAGAGTGAACGATCACTCAGAATTTTCTCTGTGTGTCTATCAGGATTGCTTGTACACATACACAGGCCGGCCAATATAACACAGAGAGCTGCAACGCTGTGTAAAACTTCATTATTTATGAATGAGCAATAAATGATGTCAGGCTGGTGCCGTACATTAATACACCAGAACACTGCCAAAAGCTCATTCATAAAACTGAAAGCTCACAGAGCTCTGCAGCTGAGAAACGGAGACAGAGCTCTGAATGATTTGTCACAAGGTGATCATTTTTGTGAGTGGCAGCGCTGATCTCTAAAACCGCCCCTGCCGCCACAGACCAGCGTTGTCAATCACAAATCCATCTCCTTCTTAGAAGCGTTGTTGGACATGGGAAACCTGTGTGACCACGCTGCTTACAAATGAAGGGATGGATCTGAACTTGATCAAGTGCAATATACACTTGGTTCCCCAAGTAAAAAAAAAAAAAACAATAACTACAGATCTTCTTTAACCTTTTTGCCGCCCGGCCAATGGCTGATTGGCGGCCGGCAAAATCACTCAGCGTTCCGGGTGGACGCCATATGGCGTCCTTTGGGGCATGCGCAGTTTGCGCGCCTGCAGAGCCGCGCACTGGCGCGATCTGTCACCAGCCGTGTACCTCGGACACGGCCGATGACAAATCTGAGTACTGGCCCTGTTGCCGATCCCATGTGACCTATCACAGCAGGTAACATGATAGTTGTACACAATGGATGGCTTCATTCATGCCATTCATTGTATACTAGTGTGCCTAGCTGTGAATGGTCACAGCAATCACATGCACAAGCTGGGCCAATCACAGCCCAGCTGTGTCATGTGATTAGCTGTGGCCAAATCACAGCTAAGCACAAAAAAAAAAACCCCTGAATGAATCGATGTCATTCAGGTAAATGCTTGCTTATAGCAAAGTAATTCTTTGCTATAAGCAAATTGTGTAAAAAAAAGAAAAAAAAATACTGATCACTTCCCCAAAGTAGTACAATGTTATTATGGTAACATTGTACTACTTTCGGTCATAGTTAAATATGAAAAAAAAACTTAAAAAAAAGAAAGAAAATTAAAAATTAAAAAGAAAAAATTTTTTAAATTTTTTAAAAAAAATTATATATATTTTTTTCCATACTGTCACCAGTCAGTGTCCCTGATCACCGCCATGCCAGTTATATGATGATGCTGTACTGCACTGGTGACAGTATGTAAAAAAAAATAGTGAAAATAATTTTTTTTATTTTTTCATTTTCCGAAAAAATGACAAAAAAAAATACAACTTCAAAAAACTCGACATGCCTCTTATGAAGTACGTCGGACTGTCTACTTTCCAAAAGGGGTCATTTGGGGGATATCTGTACTGTTCTGACATTCTTGGACCTCAAGAAATTAGATTGGCTGTCAGTACTTCAGGATTGTGAACTCTATAACTTTCCTACAAACTAAAAAATACATCCTAATTTGGGTTATTTTCACCAAAGACATGTAGCAGAATACATCTTGGCCTAAATTTATGAAGAACAATTATTTATTTGCAAACTTATATAACAGAAACAAAGAAAAACGTGGGTTTTTTTTTCAAAATTGTTGGTCTTTTTTTGTTAATTTAGCAAAAAAGAAAAACCCCAGTGTTGATTAAATACCACCAAAAGAAAGCTCTAGTTGTGTGAATAAAATGATAACATTTTAGTTTGGGTACAATGTTGTATGACCGCGCAATTGTCATTCAAAGTCTGAGGGCGCTGAAACCTGAAAAATGGCCTGGGCAGGAAGGGGGTAAAAGTGCCCGGTATGGAAGAGGTTAAAATATATGTAAACCCCAACAATCAACGTCTCGTATTTTTTTCCTTTTGGTCTGTTTTGCCATTGAAAGAGTTTTGTTATATCTGTTCAGTAAGTACTAAAAAATACTTGTTGATCATGTTAGAAGTTCAGAGCTGTCCAGTGCCTAGTGTGTGCTTCCTGTGCTATCTCCAAGAGTAGTAATTAGCCTCCTGGTTATACATTTTAACCACTTGCCCTCCAGAGGATTTACCTCCCTTCCTGACCTGGACATTTTTTGCGTTACGGCGCTGAATTTCTTTAACTGACAATTGCGTGGTCATGCAATGCTGCAACCAAATGAAATTTACATCCTTTTTTCCCCACGAATAGAGCTTTCTTTCAGTGGTATTTGATTGCCTGTGCATTTTTTATTTTTTGCACTATAAAAAAAAAAGACCGCTAATTCTGAGGGAAAAAAAAACAATATTTTTGTGTTTTTGCTATTATACATGTCCAGTAAAAAATTAAAAAAAAATCTAATTTCGTCATAAATTTAGGCCAAAATATATTCTGCTACATGTCTTTGCTAAAAAAAAATCCCAATACATGTAAATTAATTGGTTTACATGAAAGTTATAGCATTTACAAATGGCGGTATATATACAGGAATTTATTACTAGTAATGGCTGCGATCAGCGACTTATTGCAGGACTGCGTTGGGCATTCTGACACTGGGGGAGAACTGACTTGGTGTCACTGACATGCCCAGTGACACCAATACAGTGACCAGTGACTAATAAAAAGCACTGACACTGTACTAATGGCACTGGGCAGGAAGGGGTTAACATGTGGGGCGATCAAAGGGTTAACTGTGAGCTGTGTGCTGTTGAGCTGTCTGCGGTTTCTAACTGTGTGGCTGTGTTTGTACTTTACTGTAAGCACACTGCTTTGCATAGCTGTGCAGGAGCTGACAGGGGAGAGAACTGTTTTGTTTAAAAACAGTTCTCCCCCCTGTCGGAGATGTTCGGCAATCACCGGGCACTGGTGAGTAATCACCGGCCAGGACCCAGTGATTGACAGCAGAGGCCCGGGAATGGCAAACCGGCTAGGGTGCGCGCCCCCTACCCGTAAATGCAAAATCAGTACAGTATATATACGTGATTTTGTACACCCGCGCTGCCCCGTAGCAGTATTTCTGCTATAGGGCGGACGGGAAGCGGTTAAAGAGAAACTCCAGGAAAAAAAATGTCTTCTGTTGACAGAATACAAGGTGTTCTGTAAATGAACAAGCAGAGGTCCTGTTGTTTACTCATCCCTCCCCTCTCTTTGTCTATTCACAGAATCCCTTTTATTCTGTGAACAGATCACAAGGAGTTTTGTGAATGGACAAGGAGGGCAAGTAAATGACACAACCCTTTCACTGTATGAGAACTGCAGATCTCGTAGCTCTTATACCTGCAGCTATGGGAAGCACAGGGTGAACTTTCAGGCATTAATTAAAATAATTTTTACTTTACAGAGCAGTAATTCCGGGATAAGCAACATGTAAGTTGTTTGTACACAGCACAAGTCAGAAAAAAAGAAAGCCAAAAGCATACAACCACCAGTTTTCCCCTGTCATCTGATAGATTGAATTGTGCTTCCCGCCTTTTCAATTTGATAAAGTGGACCTTGCAAGAAAATGCAAGATCCCATGCCCAGTACATAAAAACACTAATCAAAAAATACTTACCTTTAACCGTGGCTTCCAGCTGCTTCCTGAAGGCGACTGCGCTGTCACTGTGCTTTACTTCTGCCTCCTGGGAACGGTGGGTACTCAAAATCTAATGACAGTGGGCCCTGCACTGTGCTGTGTTTTTTAAACATTTTTCTTCAAATGGTTTATTTTTTTTTCAGCTTTTTTTGGTTTTTACGTGAGAGGTTTCCAGCTAGGCCGACCTTGCAGCAATGGGGACATTGACTTAACAAAACACTAATGAATACAACACAAAGCCCTGACCACATTTTCAGTACCCTAATTATTTTCAACAATCTCTGCCCTCTAACAGTCGCCTGACACTTTTTTAAACTGCCTTTCATCGTCCAAACTTTAGAACATAGGTACAGGACTGAGCAGTGCCAAGTAATGCCAAGGTCACAGAGCCCCAGTGATCTGAACCTCGAGAACAATCCAACTCTCACTGTTTAGTGAAATATAAGCATGCACTTAATCATGTTGAAATCTCAACAACATAATAGAGGCTCCGGATAATGGAACTTGCTTTTAATTCAATAAGAACTCCTAATGTGAATTATGATTTTGAGGTGCAGAAACCACATAGTTTACCTAATTACATTTTTTAAATTCTACGATTATATTTGTTAAAGAAAACACGTACTTGGACATTATATGGACATTTTGGGCAGCACAGTGGCTAAATGGTTAGCATTTCCACCTGGCAGTACTAGGGTCGTTGGTTCGAATCCCAGCCACGGCACCACCTGCCTGGAGTTTGCATGTTCTCCCTGTGCCTGCGTGGGTTTCCTCCGAGTACTCCGGTTTCCTCCCACTGCCAAAGACACGCTGGTAGGTTAATTGGCTCCTGTCTAAATTGGCCCTAGTATGTGTATGTATGAATGTGAGTTAGGGACCTTAGATTGTACGCCCCTTGAGGGTCAGGGACTGATGTGAATGTACATTATATATATATATATATATATGTGTAAAGCGCTGCGTAAATGGACGGGCGCTATAGAAGTACCTGAAGTAAATACATTTTTATTCCTGATAGCTCCCAAAGAGCTGCCTAACTTTTAAGATGATCCAATGCCTTCAATGCTTTGAAACTTGAACCCTTATATATACACTCAGTAAAGTGACAAGCCTCAGGTGATACACAGAGATGAAACCAATACTCTTGCATAAGTTGTACACAGATCAAAGGCTTTTTCCTAGCTCCAGCAGGCAGTGGCCAGGGACCTATCATCACACACAGAGTGGAAGTAAAGGACCCACACCCCCTCTACACAGTCTCATAGGGAAACATGCACAGCTAAGGCTGTCAAGCACCATCTGTGCACTGCAAAGGGGGAAGGGAGGCAGGGCCATAGAATTGTGTAATGCGGATAGCAGAGAAGAGAGAGGAGACAGAAATCACACCAGGTGCTTTGGATTGAGGCTAGTAGACACTATAGAGGGATATGGTCTGTTCATTTTGCATTTCAGAGGTTTACAACCATTTTCTACGCTGATGGCATTTAGTTTGCTCTATGTACCAGCTGTCATAAACAATTGCTTCATTAATAAAACCTGTTTTCAACACTATTAAATAAATTGTTGCGTCTCATCGCTCAGGATTTCCTGATAGTGACGACGACAAACAACGAGCATTGGCATGGCCAAATCCAGTCTTCACGGCAAACAGAAGTGACAGAACAACAACAACAACACAGTAGATCAATTTAGACACAAGGAGAGAGCACTGATGCCCTATAACAGAAAGTGCCTGAATAAGGATCTTTATGGCAAAAGGACCAAGAATTATTTGAATTTTGTGAAACAAAATAATTATTTGAATTAAAGCTGCAAATCTAAAAAGACTGAAAACTACTTTTAAAATGACATTACAGTGGTTCTAAAGGCTCAAGGTTTTTTACCTTCATGCATTCTATGTATGAAGGTAAAAACCTTCTGTGTGCAGCGCACCCCCCCCCCCAGCCCCTCCACAATCCGTACCTGAGTCTCCCTCCGATCCAGCAATGTTCTCGACACCCTGTCTGGGGACTCTTCCTCCTCACTGGCTGCGACAGCAACGGTAGCCCATTGGCTCCTGCTGCTGTCAATCACAGCCAGTGATCAATGAGGAGAGAGTGGTGGGCGGGGCCGAGCTGTGGCTCTATGTGTCTTACGGACGGGGACAAGCACGCAGAGGTACCCCCTGGGTGAGCAGGTTTTCCCTGGGGGCAATGCTTGAGGAGGAGCCAGGAGCGCCGGAAGGGGACCTGAAAAGAAGAGGATCTAGGCTGCTTTGTGCAAAATCACTGCACAGAGCAGGTAAGTCTAGACATGTTTGTTATTTTCAGAAAAAAAAAAGCTTAACTTCCGGTCACATCAAAGCAGATTTTGAAATCTTGGGACTGACTTACAGTAAAGTCGCACGATTTCAATGTTGGGTGAGATGCCGATTTGAGGTGCGATTTGCAAGACATCTGACACCGATGTCTATGCAAATCGCACCAAAAGCAGTGCATGCACTACTTTAGAAATCGGTGCGGCTCCAACCAAGTCAGAACCGCACTGATAGCGGACAATAGGGTGCAACTTGGCATACGATTTGCAAGTCGCATGGCATTCAAACCGAATGCCAAGTCACACCCGATGTGACCAGGATGTTAGTGTCATTTTAACCTGTGAAGTTTATAGGAGATCTTAATGACTGGGTTTATATATACTGGGTAGGCAGCCTCGGCACTCCAGCTGTGGTGAAACTAAAAGTCCCAACATGTCTGTTACTCTGGGTGTCATGCCTGTGGCTGTAAATTCTTGCAATGCATCACTGGACTTACAGTTTCACAACAGTTGGAGTGTTGAGGTTGCCTACCCGTTTTAAGACTACCTAGAATTCTTTTTATTACCCCCTATCACTTATTTTACCAAATTTGACCACACATTTTTCTTGTCGTCTTTTTCTGCTCTTTGTTTTCTTCTGTTCTGATCACTCTCCTCCTGTATAAAGTCCTATTTCTCTTATCTTTGTTTCTCCTATTCTTACTTCTGCATATTATTATCTACTAAAACTGCAATATATGCTGTGGAAATTCCTTGGTGGCTAGTCAACATTTTCCAATTTAACATACTCCCAAGCATGCCTGTTCGGAATTCTACTGTACTATAATTGTGTAAACCATCCCAAAAAAATTATTAATCATAAACGAAATGTTCAAATCCTAGTTCTGTTAACTTTGAAGGAAATGAAGAGAGGTAATCAGCACAAGAACTGACACCAAATCCTGGATAAACCTGGTGGTGGGTAATGATAGTTATCGTGACTGTGGTGTGGGGGCCCGTATGACACAAAGGAGAAGCTCCCAGAAGTACTGTAGCAGACTCTGTTAGAGGAGCTTCTTTTCTTTCTCTCATCCTAAGTGCAGCATAACACTTTATTGAAGATCAAAGGTAGGAACACTCACATTTATGAGGTAAAAGTAATGCATGGTATAGTGGTATGGTGTAACATCGGATAGGAGAGTGTAGTCATCCGTGTAACTGAGCTGTCATCGGTTGTAATGTGTCAGCGTGCCGCTGGAGGGGAGAAAGCTGAGGTGCAAACCGGCGTGCACGTCCTCACTCTGAGCTGGGTGGAACGCACGCTGGAACGCAGCGACGGCATGAGCATGATGACGTCAGTTACCCAAGGTGCACTGCGACGCGTTTCGGAGCATGTGCTGGCCTGGAGAAGCGGAAGTGCCCTCCTTTATCAAGCAGGGGGAAGTGGGAGTCCGATAGTTTTTTATTTATATATATATATATATATATATATATATATATATATATATATATATATATGGAGTTAATCCTCATGGGGGCTGATTGCCAATTAATTAACCCATTGTAGAAGCAATATGTGAATAAACCATTGTTGTACGGTGACAATGTGTGGTTAAAGGAGTAGGGGAGGAGAATTAAAGTTGTAAATGGATGAAAAGAAATATTGAGCATAATGAAAGATAAAAAGTAATAATAATGATAAATAAAAATGGGAAAAATAACCTGCCCTGCAGGTTCACTGGAGGAATCGGCCAACTGTTGTTTTAATTACTCACATTAAAAAAATAAAAAACTGCTGTTCATAAAATCAGTTTGTAAATTTTTTATTAAATTCTTGGATTTTCCAACACAAACCCAAATTCCTGACATTTCTTCTGCTTTTTTATCCAAATTACTAAAAATCTCTACATTTATATTAAAGTGATATAAAGTTATTTTTTTTTTCTAAATAACAAACATGTCATACTTAGCTGCTCTTTGCGATGGTTTTGCACGGAGCAGCCCTGATCCTCCTCCTCTTGGGGGCCCAACCAGCACTCCTGTCTCCTCTTCTTCTGTGTGCCACCATAGGAAGTTGCTTCCTATGCAGCACACATGCAGGCTTGATCCCAAGCC